TACGCCTTTGTGATCCAACATCTTGATACTCACAAGGGTTTGCTAAGATGCAGAATCTATGACAAAGTTGTCCTTTTGGCCATCCAGCTTTCCTGTCATGTAGACACTATGTGTGCTTGGCATTTTACACTTAGATGTTGGGACTTTCACAATGAGGGTTGGTAGGCGCCCATCAACACGAACCACTACTGGTTTCCTTAAGGCTGACTTATTGGTAGTATTCTTATACTGACTCCTCATATGTCCTTGCTCTCCACAGTTCCAACAACCTTTCTGGGTAGCAGCCTTTCCTGTCATGGCATCTTCCCTGTGTTGAAGTTGCCGGCATTAAGCTCTCTTGTGCCCAGGTTTGTTACAGTACCAGCAAAGTCCCTCAAACGTCTCTGAAAGATGCCCTTTTCTGGCCTTGAATCCTGATGACTGTACCAACCTTGGTACTTCTGTACTGGACCTAACATAAGATTTGAATTCAAGAGCTCTGGCCATTGCATCCTGTATAGTAGAGGGGTGTGCTTGCTTTACTTGAATCTTCAGTTGTGGACTGTCCAAGGCATCTACAAACTGATCCCTTCTCAGCAACAACTTGAGGAGATCGGGTGGTGCAGTTGGGTAGGCCTTGTGTGCCATGCTCCCAAGTCCTGTGCCAGCTCTTGCAGGCTCTCCCCTTTAGCACGGACTCTTGTCCTAAACTTAGCCCTGTAGACTTCAGACTGATTTGGGGTTCCATACCCGAGTTCTAGAGCAGCTACCAGTGCTCCATAATTGTGACTGTCATCTGCTGACAACTGTCCAAGTATTTCCAGTGGTTGTCCCTTCAAGCTCATTGTCAGATATACTGCCTTCTGCTCCTCTGTCCATCTATTCATCTCTGCCAGGAGCTCAAATTGTACTCTATATGCTTCCCAGGGTTCCTTCCCATCGAATTCCTGTGGCTTCCTTCGTACGAGATCACCCCTATTTCTGACACTCATATCTGGGATGTGACTTCTAACAGGTCTGAAGATGTCTGCATTAGGGTTTAGCTGCAGGGTCTGGAAGGGGCTTCCCATTGTCTGAGGGTGATTAGGTCGATGGCTAATATATCCTCCTTGCGTAAAAGTCAGTAAATCATTCTTTGATGTATTTAATTCGCTTTGAAATTTACTAATGTTTTCCATTTGTGTACTCTGGCTTTCTCTCAACTGTTGGAGACTT